AGACACACAGAGACAGAGAGACACACAGAGACAGAGAGACACACAGAGACAGAGAGACACACAGAGACAGAGAGACAGACAGAGACAGAGAGGCAGACAGAGACAGAGAGACACACAGAGACAGAGAGACAGACAGAGACAGAGAGACACACAGAGACAGAGAGAGACACAGAGACAGAGAGACACACAGAGACAGAGCGACAGACAGAGACAGAGAGACACACAGAGACAGAGAGACAGACACAGACAGAGAGACAGAACGAGACAGAGAGACACACAGAGACAGAGAGACACACAGAGACAGAGAGACAGACAGAGACAGCGGGACACACAGAGACAGAGAGACAGACAGAGACAGAGAGAGACACAGAGACAGAGAGAGACACAGAGACAGAGAGACACACAGAGACAGAGAGGGACACAGAGACAGAGAGAGACACAGAGACAGAGAGAGACACATAGACAGAGAGAGACACAGAGACAGAGAGACACACAGAGACAGAGAGAGACACAGAGACAGAGAGAGACACAGAGACGGAGAGACAGACAGAGACACAGCGACACACAGAGACAGAGAGAGAGACACACACAGAGACAGAGAGACAGACAGAGACAGAGAGACACACAGAGACAGAGAGACAGACAGAGACAGAGAGAGACACAGAGACAGAGCGAGACACAGAGACAGAGAGACAGACAGAGACAGAGAGACACACAGCGACAGAGCGACACACAGAGACAGAGAGAGACACAGAGACAGAGAGACACACAGAGACAGAGAGAGACACAGCGACAGAGAGGCACACAGAGACAGAGAGACACACAGACAGAGAGACACACAGAGACAGAGAGACACACAGAGACAGAGAGACAGACAGAGACAGAGAGACACACAGAGACAGAGAGACAGACAGAGACAGAGAGACACACAGAGACAGAGAGACAGACAGAGACAGAGAGACACACAGAGACAGAGAGACAGACAGAGACAGAGAGACACACAGAGACACAGAGAGACACACAGAGACAGAGAGACACACAGAGACAGAGAGAGACACAGAGACAGAGAGAGACACAGAGACAGAGAGAGACACAGAGACAGAGAGAGACACAGAGACAGAGAGACACACAGAGACAGAGAGACACACAGAGACAGAGAGACAGACAGAGACAGAGAGAGACACACAGAGACAGAGAGACAGACAGAGACAGAGAGACACACAGAGACAGAGAGACAGACAGAGACAGAGAGACACACAGAGACAGAGAGACACACAAAGGACAGAGAGACAGACCAGAGACAGAGGAGACCACAGGACACAGAGAGACAGACAGAGACGAGAACACATAAAAGGCAGACAGACAGGGACGAGACAGAGAGGCACACAGAGACAGAGAGACAGACAGAGACAGAGAGACACACAGAGGAAGAGAGACACACAGAGACGAGAGGACAGACAGATACAGAGAGAGACACACAGAGACAGAGAGAGACACAGAGACAGAGAGACACACAGGGACAGAGAGACACACAGAGACAGAGAGACACACAGAGACAGAGAGACAGACAGAGACAGAGAGACACACAGAGACAGAGAGACAGACAGAGACAGAGCGAGACACAGAGACAGAGAGAGACACAGAGACAGAGAGACACACAGAGACAGAGAGAGACACACAGAGACAGAGAGACAGACAGAGACAGAGAGACACACAGAGACAGAGAGACACACAGAGACAGAGAGACACACAGAGACAGAGAGAGACACGGAGACAGAGAGAGACACAGAGACAGAGAGGCACACAGAGACAGAGAGACAGACAGAGACAGAGAGACACACAGAGACAGAGAGACAGACAGAGACAGAGAGACACACAGAGACAGAGAGACAGACAGAGACAGAGAGACACACAGAGACAGAGAGACAGACAGAGACAGAGAGACACACAGAGACAGAGAGACAGAGAGACAGACAGAGACAGAGAGACACACAGAAGAGAGACAGACAGAGCAGAGAGAGACACAGAGACAGAGAGACAGACAGAGACAGAGAGACACACAGAGACAGAGAGAGACACAGAGACAGAGAGACAGACAGAGACAGAGAGACACACAGAGACAGAGAGACACACAGAGACAGAGAGACAGGCAGAGACAGAGAGACACACAGAGACAGAGAGACAGACAGAGACAGAGAGACACACAGAGACAGAGAGAGACACAGAGACAGAGAGACACACAGAGACAGAGAGACACACAGAGACAGGGAGAGACACAGAGACAGAGAGACACACAGAGACAGAGAGACACACAGAGACAGAGAGAGACACAGAGACAGAGAGACACACAGAGACAGAGAGAGACACAGAGACAGAGAGAGACACACAGAGACAGAGAGACAGACAGAGACAGAGAGACACACAGAGACAGAGAGAGACACAGAGACAGAGAGACAGACAGAGACAGAGAGAGACACAGAGACAGAGAGACAGACAGAGACAGAGAGAGACACAGAGACAGAGAGACAGACAGAGACAGAGAGACACACAGAGACAGAGAGAGAGACAGAGACAGCGAGAGACACAGAGACAGAGAGACAGACAGAGACAGAGAGACACACAGAGACAGAGAGAGAGACAGAGACAGAGAGAGACACAGAGACAGAGAGACAGACAGAGACAGGGAGACACACAGAGACAGAGAGAGAGACAGAGACAGAGAGAGACACAGAGACAGAGAGACAGACAGAGACAGAGAGACACACAGAGACAGAGAGAGACACAGAGACAGAGAGAGACACAGAGACAGAGATACAGACAGAGACAGAGAGACACACAGAGACAGAGAGAGAGAGAGAGAGACAGAGAGAGACACAGAGACAGAGAGACAGACAGATACAGAGAGACACACAGAGACAGAGAGAGAGACAGAGACAGAGAGACACACAGAGACAGAGAGACAGACAGAGACAGAGAGACACACAGAGACAGAGAGAGAGACAGAGACAGAGAGAGACACAGAGACAGAGAGACAGACAGAGACAGAGAGACACACAG